TACATATACAAAGCTCTACGGGCCTCGAGGAGCAAAAATTTCAGCCCAGAGCCCTGTTACAATGAGAAACAAGGTCTCTGCCGGTTTCAGAACTACACTATGAAGGGGTTTTTAAATGCATTTTCATTAAAATTACTTTTTCCCACCCTTATTCTAACAGCTTCTGCACACATCCCACCCCTCCGGATGCTGACCTTCAGGCACAAGAAGTTGCTCATCTCTCTGCTTTTTCACCCAGTTTGGGATTTGATTTTCTGGCTGGTGCTTTGTTTCTGGTTTGGGGTTTTTTTTTTTTTTTTTGAGACATCCTTAATTTTACAGACATGGGGAACAAGATGGTTTGCCTGGACAAAATACCTAGCTGCATTTGGGATAACCAACTTTGGGGAGCCCCACGCTGCCTGCCGAGCCAAGGTTTCTCCCTCACCAGAAAAGCACAGAGGCAGCAGGATTGGGTCCCATTTCCTTTGGGAAACTCCCGATAAACCCTCATCTGTTTCCAAGGATTTTGCCTCTTTCCCCTAAAACTAATGGAAATAAATATGGAGAGAAAAATCAACAGCCTGACTTTTAAAAAAAAAAAAAAATGCTGTTATTGTTGCAGGGATAAAGACACGTACATGACTGTGTGAGCAGAGGAGAAAAGTAATTAATTCTGGCTTAATAAAGCCTTAGATTCCGGGCCAGTATCCACTGCATTAAGTTTTACTGGTTTACAAAAGTTAACGAGCATTTATAATGTCTGATATACTACACCATGGCTGCTCTGCAATGTGTTTGTATTCGGTAATAAAGTGTAGTTTTTGGTGAAGGAACTGTATTATTAATAAGGGAAATTTTCATTATTATTTTTGCTTTATTTATAATTTTAAATATACTGTCTGGAGACTTGGGGGGTGAAAACCAGTTGTGTGTTTGAGCTCGATCTTGTACCTTATGGTTTCACCCCAAATCCCAGACTGACCGGTGACAATTAAATTAGGCAGGAGAGGAGAAGGTGACTTGAAAATCCGTGGAGGTGGGGGGATGGAACAAAGCCCTGGGCCAACCTTCCCCGCCGGTGGGGCCGAGGTGAGAAATGCAACCGCTTGCAAAACGGGTCCCATGCAAAATGCAGAGATGCCCTACACTCCTATGGCCCCTTCCCTCCGTCCTATGGCCCTTTCCCTCATCCTAAGGCCCTGTCCCTCCATCCTAAGGTACCCTCCCTCCATCCTATGGCCCCATCCCTCCATCCTAAGGGCCTGTTTCTCCATCCTACGGCCCCATCCCTCTATCCTAAGGTCCCATCCCTCTGTCCTACGACCCCATCCCTCCAAGGACAAGGATGGGACTGATGCTGGGCTTCCCCCTTCTCCTGCTGCCCCATGGGGAGCAAACACCTTGTGCTTAGGTGAGTGGGGAAGGTCAGGGGCTGCTTGTAGGGCAGGGGGTTGTGACAAATGCCAATGAGTCACTGGGAATGCCACCCCCAGGGATGCTACGGGGCAAATCTCTTCGCATCCCTATGGGAAAGCGTAAGATCTGGTTCACAATCTCTCTCCCCCCAGCAGTACAGAAGGGTTTTCCAACCCGACGTCTGCTCCAGGCTTTGATCTTCCCAGATGCTGCTGCTGCCTTCCAGGAGCGCCTGTTCGGGGAACCCTGACTTCGACTTAGTCACAACAAAATGCAAAGCACCCACCAGAAATGGCCACAGCCCCTCGCCCCGATTTACTCCCACCCACATCAACCTCCTCCATGCCACAGCCTAAGAAAGACCCCGCTGCTTTTTTTGCGAAAAGCAGAATTGTTGAGGGTGGGGATGGCAAGCCAGGATCTGGCCCTCCATCCCCAGCCGGGAAACACCCAGGAGGGAGCAAGCGGCAGCGGGATGGATGTGCTCAGAACCCCGTGCTGGTCTCAATCCTCGCTCCTCCCTGCCTGAGGAAGGGGGAAGGGGCAAGCTGCTAATTTTGGGACGGATTTCAAGAGGTTTATGGCACTGGCAGAGAAGCCTCCTTTGCAGCGGGTCCTTTTCATGCCTCATTAAGTCGGGAATTCACTGTAACCCCATCCCAGGCAATGCCTGGAGCAAGTTCACGGCCTCAGCTGCAGGGTCTGATCCTGCCCTTCAGGATAATCAGATTCACCAAACCTACACCGAAAATCCCAAATCTGGCATTTTGAACTCACACGGGGAAAAGTTTTTCGAACAGGCCCTTGCGATTTACCCACCCGTCCTTCCCAGTGCTTTGTACCACGTGTTAACCCAGGACAAAATTCCTTTTACTAGAAAAAAGCCATAAGGTTTTCATTTCTTTCAGTAGAAATCAAGATTTTTTCTTTTTCCCCTCCTTTTTCTGTCACCTTTGTATACAATTTCACTAAACTTCTTTCCCCAGTGCATTGCTTCACAGCGGGGAAAAAATGCCGTGCCCTGTTGCATCGTCTGCGTATCTGTGTCTGCACACCCAGCTACACCTGCACAGAATTGATCCTCACTGTTAAAAAATGATAATAATTAATATTCTAATGACCCCGGGGCTGCTCTACAATTAGCACTATCCAAAGGCTAGCTCCCCAGGAAGCCAAATCTCCGGGGGAAAAGGACAGGGCTGCAAAAATCCCTTGATTTTTGCCAAAGGATTGTGCTTCCACCTTGAGATTCCTCACCATGTGGAGAACAAAAATATCTTTATTTCTAAGGAAAGGCAAAGGAAGGAGTTTGGGATCCACTGTCCCAGGGACTGCTTGGATGCTGAGCCAGGCTCGGGTGTGTTATTCAAGCGGGTCCGTGATGGGTATAGTCCACGGCGGTGTTTCCCCCAACTCCATCTTCCAGCATCTTCAATTTTTCAGCCCGTCAGGGCTTTTCACGGTTGCAGATAAAAAAAGACCCACTTTCTCCCCACTCAGAAATTCCCAGACGGCCTTTATATGTTTCATACAACCCTCTCCCGACACCGGCAGTCCATGCAAAGCATCGCTCCGGCGTCGAGAAGGGTCCTGGCTGGGAGCAGCCCGGCAGCGGCCATGTCCCGACTCGGGGAGAAGAGGGAAAGGGGCAGGTCTGGGTCTTAAACTACTTGCCAGGCAAGCTGCCTTCCAAAAAAATAAAAATCCATTTTAATCCTGATTTTAAAACTTACCAGCTTTCAGGCAGGTTTTTTTGGTTTTTTGTTTTTTTACCAAAACCCAACTTTTTTTTATTTAAACCCAAGTGCTGTTCCCACGTTCGGGGCAGAGGCGTAATCAGACCCGCGCTAATAAACCCCCCAGTCGCTGCTCTCAGCGATGCGACACCGTGAATCCCGCACTCCAGTCAGGACCTGGTGATGGAAAAGGGTTCCCAAAGGGCTCCTTCCACCTTTGTTAGCCACTGCTAATGCTTTCTGGGCTGGCTCAGTGCATCCCGACTTCCCGGGGCTGTTTAAAAAGCCCAGATAAAAAGCACTTTTTGCCACCAAAAGGCAGGCTGCGAGACCTGCGCCGCAAGCCCCTGCTTAACGCAGGGCTGGAGACGCCAAATTCCTTACGCTCCCTCTCTGGCACCTTAAAAGCTGTCGCCTACTTTTGCAACTGCTGTTCTTCATTTGCATTATTTTGGGTTTATGGGTTTTTTATTACTAAGGGCCTTTTTGAGAGCACTGCGCAAAGGTAGTATTTTTTCACCAAGGAAGAGGTAGCAACACAATGTCCTTGTCGATAATATTTGATTATTATTTGATTATTTGATTCATCCTGCAAGGAAAACCTCTACCTTCCCAAAAACATTGTGTGGTTGGGCAAAACTTTATCCTTAAATATAATCTGCTCCCCATTTTAAGCAATTTCCTAACACCAGGAGAAAAGCAACAGGCAGGGCCAAGCCTTCACCAACACCCAACTTTGCTTTCTTTAACGTCTTAAAAAGACAAAGCAAACCTTGCTAGACGCAGTGGAAAAATCACCTTCTGAAATACAGGTTAAAGAAGCCAATCTTAAAATGTATCTGCAGACAAATTTGAGTAATTTTCTTTGTTAACCCCGACCCTGCAGCCGACAGAAATACCTTCATGGAGAGAAGGCGGGGAGGAAAAAAGGGTTTACGAAACCGCGATGCAAAGTTGTGCCCTGCGTTTCTTCCCCTTTCTCCCTCTTCCACCACATAAAATTAAAAAAAAAAAAAAGTGATATTTTAAGTGATTCAGGACAGTTTCTGGTCGTAGGACCCAGGGGCACTTAGTGAAATGAAAAGCTCTGCACTCGGGATTGGCACAGGAGATCAGGGCTGAGAATTTTTAGGGCAGTGAGACCCCGAAACACAGGGCTGGGTCATGCAGATGTGCCTGTGAGTCCCCCCAAAAGTGTGATAATAAGTGTGGATGTGTTTATTTTTAACCTTCTCCACCGTTTCTCCCTCCTTGGTGCCGAATTTCCCTTCGCTTTCCCTTTTTCTAGCTTAACCGACCTTTCCACAAATTAAAAAAAAAGAAAGGACGTAACAAAACAGCCCAAAGGGAAGATCCGGGATTCACCGGCCTAGCGAATTTCCCCATTTTCCGAACAATTTTACACCTAAAACAAGCCGGGGAAGGGGCTGCCTGCACACCCACGGAGCGTCG